TGTCTTCAACTTTATCTTCGTATAATAGCTTTGAAATAAGGGTGAGATGCAACGCAAGGTGGGGATGCATATTTATCTTTAGCTTCGTCTGTGTATTCAACTTCAGCATCGTCTTCGTATCTTGGCTTATAATTAAAGGATACAAAGTGTATCAAGTTAGGCCAACTCTTTTATTTCTAATTTCTAGCAGCATGTGGTTTTCAGTAATGTGTCCCACTGTGTCAAAAAACATGTATGTTTTGTGTCCTAACATGCCCCATAAGTGTTAGAGCTCATTTTAAAATAAAAAACTTAAACAAAGTTTATGATGTATCATACACATGTCAGGGCGTGTTAGAGCAATGTCTATGTATGACATATGTCCTGCATGTACACAAAACCATTTAGAAGTGTTCATGCTTCATAGAACTAAAGTCAATTTCTCATTCAAAAGGATTATTACTTTCTAGAAAGTTAACACATGCTCTACTGAAACATTGGGCCTTCTTGTAACTTTTTTCCTCCTATGACATGCAACAACAATCCAAATGAAGTTTGTAAAGGATGTGTAGTGTGGAAAGCAATTAGTAAAAAATTTATGAATGAAGCAAGCTTTAGAGCAAAGAAGCTGCCTCAACTAGTTCATGTGGATGTAGGTGGACAAGTTGCCCTAGCATATTTTAGAAAGCAACATTATTTTGCACTTTTATTGATGATTATGCAAGGAATATTTTGGTGGTTTTTTTATAGAAAATTTGGAAGCCTTTAATATGTTGAAAATTTTTAAAATAATTGTGAAGAAATAAAGTAGATACCTAATTAAATCAACTTGATTTAATCTAGGTGGCAAGTTCACTTCCAAAGCATTTGAAGAATATTGTGAGGAGCACAACATTCAACATCAACTAATAGCAATATTTTCACCTTAGCAAAATAGTGTGAAAGAATAAAAAAAGACGAATTAAACTCAATATAATGTGATGTATGATCAAGAGAAAGAAAATGCCAAAAAATTTGTATCAAGGCGGTAGCGTATGTTGTCCATGCCCTCAATTAAAGATGCCATAAGAAGCATCGATAAGGAGAAAGATGAATATCTCTCAATTAAATGTGTTTGAGTACATTGCATATGCATGTATTACCCAACAAAGGAGGATAGCTGGACAATAAAAACTCCAAGCTCACCTTTATCAGGTACAAATCAAAAGCTTAAAATTATTTGATCCAAACACTTCTAAAATTATTTTATGTGAAGATGTTGATTTCAATTAAAAAGGAACATGGATTGACAGAATAAGAATATAGCTATTCAATATGAAGAGAAAGCAACCATGGTACTACAAGATCCTTCATTATAGTCTCCATGTTCTACCTCCTCGCCAACATCATTAGAACACAATCAAAGGCAAGGAAAAATAAGAAGTGCAAGTAAGCATTACGAAGTGACTACGTTATGAAGTGACTAGCAAGCTTCAATTTATTTGTTAACCTTTAGAATTTGAAAATGCCGTATAACATGAAAGGTGAAAATGTGAAAGTTTAAGATATTTGACATTTTCAAAGCTAAATATTTTGCATGGAGTTGAAATTTTAAGCTGCTATATAGAAAAGCTGATGGAGACACTTAAAAGCAAAGCAGATCTTTCTTTATATGAAAGGAACATTAAGTCATGGATTATTATACTCTCCTTCTAATAAAATTTATCTTTTTGGCTACTCAGATAGTGAATGGGCTTGAGATCAAGATGATAGAAAAATTTTGCATGGAGTTAAAATTGTAAGCTGTTACATAGAAAATCGGATGGAGACACTTGAAAGCTAAGCAGATCTTTCTATATATGAAAGGTGCATTAACTCATAGATTTTATACTCTCCATCTAATAATTTTTTTTCTTTTTGGCTGCTCAAATGGTGAATGGGCTTGAGGTCAAAATGATAGAAAAACATGAGTAAATTTGTGTTCTATATGAGTTATGTTAGCTTTAACTAATGTTCAATGAAGCAACCGATTGTTTCCCTCTCTACTTATCAAGTAAAATATATTTTAGCATCTTCATACGTGTATATGCAATATGGCTATGAAAGCTACTCAAAAAGATTAATGTTATCTATGGTGAAGCTATAAAAGCCTGCATAGATAATAAATTGGCAATGGCATTGGCAAAGAATCCTATGTATAATGAAAAAAGCAAACATATTGATACTCATTTTCACTACATAAGGGACCAAATCAAAGTGAAGAAAATTCCTATAGAATACGTAAAAATTGAAGAAAGAGTTCCTGATATCTTTACTATGGCACTGAAATAATTCATAAATTTGAAGGTAGTTCTAAGTATGACCAATTGGAACATTGGTTTAAGAGAGAATAGTGAAAAAAAAACCATATGACATGTGCATTATCTTGGAGTATCTTCAAATTTCTAACATAAATTTTTGTTGTAGAAATCTCTGGAAGTACAATTAACAAGTTAAATGATAAGAAGTAGATTGGAAGTTGTATTAGATTTGATCTAGAATCATCCATGATTTAGTATACGTAAGCCTAGAAGCTTTAAATTTTATTAAAGTTAAATTTAAGCACAAAAGTTCAATATAAACTTTAGAGTTTATCCCTCTATCATCAACATAAATTTTCTGTCAAACACATCTCAAGCACCTCATATTTGCAATCAATTCACAAAAAAGCCAGGTTCTGTTATCTCTTCACTCCCATTATATGTTTTATTTCAGCAGCGGCACATTTAGAACTACTTCTATTGTTGATCAAGATGACAATTTCTTGGATATCCCTTGTCAATAGATTAATTGCCTATAGAAGATTCAACAACAAAATATGATTAAGCAAACTAATTTTTCTGAACTCATCACATCGAAGTAGCATTGACCTCCATTTTTACTCCATCAAACTAACATTTGACCATTTTTATTCACTTCTTTGTCTTCCAAGTTCAAAGGTGATCTAACAAGTTTGTTCAACTAAAATATGACATCAATGCCGTCCATATATGCCATTAATTTGTACGTATCAGATCGAAGTTCTCTGCTATATCAAAATCTATGGATGTACAATTAACAAGTTAAATGATAAGAAGTAGATTGGAAGATGTATTAGATTTGATCTAGAATCATCCATGATCTAGTATACATAAGCCTAGAAGCTTTAAATTTTATTAAAGTTAAATTTAAGCACAAAAGTTCAATATAAACTTTAGAGTTTATCCCTCTATCATCAACATGAATTTTCTGTCAAACGCATCTCAAACACCTCATATTTGCAATCAATTCACAAAAAATCCAGGTTCTGTTATCTCTTCACTCCCATTATATGTTTTATTTCAGCAGCGGCACATTTAGAACTACTATTCCTGAAAGATGACAATTTCTTGGATATCCCTTGTCAATAGATTAATTGCCTATAGAAGATTCAACAGCAAAAGAAGATTAAGCAAACTAATTTTTCTGAACTCATCACGTCGAAGTAGCATTGACCTCCATTTTTACTCCATCAAACTAACATTTGACCATTTTTATTCACTTCTATGTCTTCCAAGTTCGAAGGTGATCTAACAAGTTTGTTCAACTAAAATATAACATCAATGCCGTCCATATATGCCATTAATTTGTACGTATCAGATCGAAGTTCTCTGCTATCAGATCGAAGTTCTCTGCTATATCAAAATCTCTGGATGTACAATTAACAAGTTAAATGATAAGAAGTAGATTGGAAGTTGTATTAGATTTGATCTAGAATCATCCATGATCTAGTATACATAAGCCTAGAAGCTTTAAATTTTATTAAAGTTAAATTTAAGCACAAAAGTTCAATATAAACTTTAGAGTTTATCCCTCTATCATCAACATGAATTTTATGTCAAACGCATCTCAAACACCTCATATTTGCAATCAATTCACAAAAAAGCCAGGTTCTGTTATCTCTTCACTCCCATTATATGTTTTATTTCAGCAGCGGCACATTTAGAACTACTTCTATTACTGAAAGATGACAATTTCTTGGATATCCCTTGTCAATAGATTAATTGCCTATAGAAGATTCAACAGCAAAAGATAATTAAGCAAACTAATTTTTCTGAACTCATCACGTCGAAGTAGCATTGACCTCCATTTTTACTCCATCAAACTAACATTTGACCATTTTTATTCACTTCTATGTCTTCCAAGTTCAAAGGTGATCTAACAAGTTTGTTCAACTAAAATATGACATCAATGCCGTCCACATATGCCATTAATTTGTACGTATCAAATCGAAGTTCTCTGCTATTACCATCCCCCCCCCCCCCCTACCCCCACTGTATTCCCTATAAGCTTTAACTGTAAATTTACCCCGAACAGCAGTTCAAATAAAAATTTGCTGGGCTCCTTTGCTTGGTTGGATAGAGTTTAAAATCAATATTAATGGTTAACATGCAACAAACATCCTTTAAATAAATCAAAAGTGAAAATGACTATTTTACTCGTTCAATTCAACATATTTTCATTATCATATCTATAGCATATTTAGCAATAAGCTTAGATGATTACATCGCTATTCTTATAAGTAACATCAAATAAATATTATTAAAAATATGTTAATTTTATGAAGGAGCTCTAAAATCCTTCACGTGATTCCAAGTGGCCCTCAGTGATACTTTCTCAAGCTCCAAAACTCACTAATTACTGTTGTTCGCTTTTCCTTACTAATATAATTCCTCAATCGAAGTAAACATATAAGGGAAACATAAAGGAGGAGAAGCAACAGTTGCAGAATATCTACCAAACAAACAAAGACTTCACAAAAGAACATAAGAAAAGAAAAGATTCCGATCGAAACAAGAGCTTGTTCGCCAGTAGGAATCCGAAGTCCGGTCTAGCCAAAATTCTATATACGTAGAACGAGGCTCGTTTTGAATAACTGAGCCAAAATTCGAAATCATCCACAGAAACCAAAGATCGAAGCAATACCAAATAGACCAGTGACAGAGATAGAGCAAGCGAGAGAGAGAGAAATAGAGAAAGAAAACCTGGAATTGGCAAACTCATGCACCTTCCCCTGTTGGGAGAAGATGATGACGCCGGCCTCTGTATCACAAAGAACGGAGAGCTCGAACGCCTTCTTGAGCAAACCGTTCCTCCGCTTGGAAAAGGTCACATGCCGGCTCTTCGAGTATTCTATCCGTCTAACCCCTCCCCATCACTGCTTACCTGTTTCCCTATCCGAACCGGAAAGCGAAGAGAATCAACAAAAAAAATAAAAACATCATATGAGCAGGGCGAATAACGATAGACAAGAAAATGATCGGGCCAATCTAAACACCACACCTGAAATGGCGAACTAGGTTCGGCAACGCCGGCGGCGGAAACAAGAGGACAGCTGTTTCCCCTTCCCTTTTCCCATTAGTAATAGCTTGACCCGATCATTCCGGTTTAAGCTAAAAAAAGAAGCCCTAAGAAAATGAGAAGAATCATCCCCTCTCTGCTCTGGCCAAAAGATGCCCATTAAAGAGTAAAGTGAGAGGTATTTGGCTGCATTCTATTTATCGTTTTCTATTTCAGTCGACAACAGAAGGGGAGGAACGAAGACAACAGGATGGGTGGGTTGTCCCATCCTACGAGTGTGTCTCAGCACGTGTAGGTTTTTTTTTTTTTTAACATACAAAATATTTCAAATTATTATAAATACATATTCAATGTCTAAACTTTTATATTTAGTCATATACCACTTAAAATCTTCATTTTCATCCATTCTATCACTTTGTTACAACCCCTATCAAAAATCTCGTTTTTCATCTGCGAGGTTTGCGAGCGGAGCTTTACACCTTTGATTCCGCCACCGACCTTATTCAACTATCGCACGACGAAGAGAAGGAACCGGATTCCTCACCGAGCCCCCCTTTGGTAGCCTCACTCTGGAGTTCTCCCCAATATAAGCGCAGAATCTCTTCTCCTCATTCCTCTTCCACATCTCCTCACCAAAGTTTTGATGCATGAAGTAAGCTTCCGCCTCCATGACCAACCACGTTTCCTCCGCCTCCTCGCCGTCGTTCAGAAGATGAATAATGATGTTGAGTCTCTCATAGTGACCATGGGAGCTCAGCATTTCTATTATAGTATTTTTATCTGTCATCAAAGGAATTTCTATTGTTCATCTTCTTCCCTCTCTACTCTATTTTCCTTTCTAATCTTTACATATTATAGAACTTATCATATCTATGTTGGGTGAAGTTAGGGTAGTGTTTGGTGAGGAAGATATATGTCTTCTTCACGAAATGGGCCGGAGCAACAGTCACCTCCACGTTGGTTGCTATGTACTAAGACGATGGGAAACCTTGGAGAGTTAATCTTTGACAGCGAGGTCGTGTCGTCATCCCTTGTCGAGATAGCTCAAATTCTCTATGTACCATCACCCCTTGTCGAGTTCGCTCCCATTCTTCGTGTGGCTAAAGAAGTCGAGGCCACGTATCCCAAAGTTGCATATCTCTGTAAGTTGAGTTCTGTATATGGCGGGGAAGACAAGCCTTTTCTCGAACGAACGGATGAGAGTCGCACGCGAACTCTATTTAGAAGGGGATTTTTTACGGCTTAGACGGAGTGTTAATTAGAATAGATGAAAAGGAGGGTTTTATGTGGTATATATCATAAATACAAAAATATAAGTGTTGAATATATATTTACATTAGTTTGAAGGGTTATGCATATAAAAATACCTCTATTTCTGGCAACTCTTCATGAAGGTCTTGAATTTGAGTTTAATTGTCTCAAAAAAAAAAAATCTGATTTTTTTAATAGCTTCGGCCATTAGATCTCGACACAGCTTATCGCTATCACCTTCCAACTACGGCACGTGCGCAGAAATAGGTCGACACCTCCAAAGCCATGCTAGCACTAACACTAAATTAAAATTTATTCGCCAAATTAATATATTTTCTGATATATATTTGATGATTAATAAGAAGAGCCTTTGATCCATGATTTTAGTTCCAGTAGTTTTGGAATTATTTGGTGATTTCAAAATGGATTAGGTTATAATTAACTAAAATTTTTATTCAGAGCTATTTATGAAGTTTGATTAAATTTCATGTGAAATTCAAAAAAATTTGGATTAAATTTATTGCATGCTCTGTAGCGATAGAGAATTTTTATAATCTAATTTCTTGCAAAAATCGAATACCCACAAATTAATAAAAAAAAAAAGCAGAAAATAATAGAATTTTTAAATAATTTTTTTCAAAAGAAAAAGCCTATAATGCCCAACTCAGATGAAATGATCCACTATACAGATAAATTATAAGATATTGCTCTTCCTCTCAATTGAAAAATACTATATTATAAGTATGAAGTATGTAAAACAAATTTGTCTTTCTACAAATATAAGGAAGAATGCTAAAGATGTGATAGTTAGATGGTATTAGTACGTCATACAATGGTGATTATATAACGATGGCCTTGTACAATACTCGAGCAATGATCAGGTGATGATAATGGTGGCCATCAAATGACGACGAAAGAATTGTGATTATTTGGTGATTGTGGAAAAGCGACGATATTCAAATGGTGATAGTCATGAAACAACGGTCAAACTTTGGCAGTTAGTCGACGGTGATGTCCAAATAAAGCTGTAGAGTTCTTCAAATCCGCAAACTCTCTTCAATCTTAGGTTCAAGCTCACTTTCAGATAAAGAATGTGAGTCTATTTATAGTATTTAAAAGTATGATATAGAAAAGAAAAGGCATTCAACAATGAAGTTCTCAGAAGAAATTTGAAAAATAGCTTAGGTCATTTCTAAAATTTGAAGTGGTAGATGATGAAAAATTAGGATTTATATTTTTTAAAAATTAAAATTCCATGCATAGTAAGGTAGCATATGCATATTGGTAATCATTGAAGGGCAAAAGCATCTTTTTCCCTAATGGATTGTAGACAATATCAGCTAGATATGCATTAATTATTATATGAATTACCATCTAGGAATTATGGCTAGCTTACATCTTGTAGTTTGACTCTCCCTATTATCATGTTTCTTTAAAGCATTCCAATTACCATGATTTGCATATATTTAGTAGTTTTTATTTTGTCCATTTATCATTATTATCCCCTGAATGTCATAAGCTCGTAGCTCAATCTATTATATGTATATTTTTTTCGGCTATAAAACATCTCACAAAGGCGATGCTTGCTATGATTCAAGATTCAAAAGCTTTTTCTCATCATGTTGTATTTTTTTAACATCATTTTTTTCTTGTCAACTTAACCGCTCGATTCGACTATAAGCATTTTATGTTTGGAAATCATTTGTTAATCTGAATTATAGTTTGAACCTTCCAAATGTGCTATGGGTCTTAGATTTGTACTCATTTGGGCTTGGATTGAGTCAAATTTGGTATTATTGGGTTCATATTTTTGAGACGTTCAGTTTAATTGTAAGTTTGCTGAAATCGGAGTTCAGATGGTCCCAAATTGAATTTTGAAATTTTCCAATTTGATTTTGCCTTGAGAATCGTGCTCAAACAAGATAATTGTTTGATGCCTATTTTCAAACGTCGAATCCTGCAAAGTCCAAAAATATATGTTGCAGCTTTTAGGAAATTTTTTATGCAACTTGAAACTCCAAAATAATCTGATCTTGGGTGTAGTGGTTCCAATTTAGTTTAAAAGTATCAAAATTGAGTCATAAATGCCAAAAAATGGTCCCGGAGACTCCGAAAATATCTGAATTGGAATTTCCATGCCAAAAATTGGACCCGGATGAAAAATTGGCTCACCTAGCCCACTAGCTTACCCATCATGTCCCTAGCCCAATCACGAGGCCTATCATAGCCATGCCAGTGGCCTCGCTGGGTCATATTCTTTGGCCCACCGAAGTTCATGAATGTGGGTTACTAGTGGAGTATTGGGTTGGTTTGAGTCATGGACCATTAGTGGAGTAGTGGGGAAGGTGAGACTCATAGGCCATAGTGGAGTAGTGGGAAAGGTTAGAGTTATGGGCCATTAGTGGAGTAATTGGGAAGGTGGGTTTAAATAATATACAGTATAATAAAATTCTAGTATTATTATAATTATAATATTATGATAATATTCTAATATTAAAATAATAATAATAATTTTTTACAACTTCCATAACTTCCTTCCCCTCCTCCTTTGGGGGTATGAAAAAAGGGGGTATGAAAAAAGTGCACCTCCCCCCTTTCCCTCTCTACAGCCTTCTAACAGTAGAGGCTCTCACCTACCTTACATGGGTAGTATGCCCTATCGAGTTCTAGAGGCCCTCTCTGTTGAGAAGGAACCATCTCCCTTAGAAGTTTTACATTATTTTTGGATAGACGACATCCACTATCCAACTTTAATGCCTTTCTATGGATAGAAGGAAATATCCTCATCTTCCATCTTTATTCCCATCAAACTTTTTTCCACACTAGAGGCATTACACTATTTTTAACTTACATGAAAGAGGTCGATTGATTCCACCAAGGATGTATGAACTATCTGAGATTATATGTTAGAACACTGCTCGATGATGTTAACATATATGGAAGAGGTTGAGAGAATCCACCAAGGATGTATGACCTATCTGAAATTATATGTCAGAACACTACTCGATAATGTTAGTATATATGGAAGATGACGAGAGAATTCACCAAGGACGTATGACCTATCTGAGGGTGTATGTCAGAGCATTGCTCGATGACGTTAACCTATATATAAGAAATCGAGAGAATCCATCAAAAATGTATGACATATCCGAGGTTATATGTCAGAGCATTAATCGATGATATTTAACCTATATAGAATAGGTCGAGAGAATCCACCAATGATATATGACCTATCCAAAATTGTATGTCAGAGCACTTATCGATAACATTAACTTATATGAAATAGGTCAAGAAGATCTACTAAGGATGTATAACATATCCTAGGTTGTATGTAAAAGCAATATTCAATGATGTTAATATATATGAAAGAAATCGAGAGAATTCACCAATGATGTATGATCTATCCGAGATTATATGTTATAGTACTGCTCGATGGCGTTAACCTATATAAAAGATGTCAAGTGAATTCACCAATGATGTATGACCTATCTGAGATTATATGTTAAAGCATTTCTCGATACGTTAACCTATATGGAAAGATATCGAGAGAATCCACTAATGATGTATGACCTATTCAAGATGCATGTCAGAGCATTGCTCGATGACGTTTAACATATATGAAAGAGGTTGACATAATCCACCAATGATGTATGACCTCCGATGTTGTATATCAAATCACTGCTCGATGACGTTAACCTATATGAAAGAAATTATGTGTCATTCGGTTGTCCGGTAGAAGTTTGGGCGTCAGTTGGTGGTCCGACAGAAGTCCAGGCTTCGGTTGGTGGTCCGGCATAAATACAGCGTCAGTTGGTGGTTCGATAGAAATATGGGGTTAGTCGGTGGTCCGACAGAAGACCGGGCGTCAGTTGGTGGTCTGGCGAAAGTCCAGGCAATGGTCAAGGATGAGCTTGG